ATTAAATATGCAGCTCTACTGGTCCGCATCACCCCGCTGCAAATTTGAGGTCAGTCACACCATCCTTTCGGAAGATATACATGGGAACTGACAGTTTTTCCTAGTTAAACCCTTTGACTATTGTGATCTGGACTGTGATGCTTGAGAAACTGGGATGGGTGTCATCCGAGTTGCTAATCTCCTGATCTTACAGGTGCGGTGAGTTGGCGCTTTTGCTTCGAAAGAAACCCAGAATGTTGTCCAGGGGCGGACTGGCCCGGGGGGGCGGGTGGCCTGTACGTCATAATGGCCCGTTGGAAATTTATAAGTATGTGCTGTATTTAGTTTCTTGCACTATTAATAAATTATTAACACGTTTCTCTAATTGGGGTTGATGTTAGGTTGTTCAAAAATTAAAAAATTCTGATTTAATTGAAGTGTTTTACATTGAATTTATCATTTTTTGGCGTAGCATGAAACTGCTGAAATACAATGATAGGCGACGCGCCTCGTTTGGATTGTATATTTTGTTACTTTTAATTATCAGCTGCAGAGCTACCCCCCCCCCCCCCACACACACACACTAATACTTTAATACCCCTTAACCTACGTAATTCCACCTGGCCCGTAAGTACCCAGTCCGCCCCTGGTGTTGTCCTCCCCCAGACCCTCCCGGTGCTAGTTACTTTCCAGTGCTTCTTAGGCGAAGGTGACTCAATTTTTTCCCAAAAACAAACGAAGATCTGGGGAGTATTTGTGGCAACCTCAGATTGAATAGGTTGTCTATTTCGTATATTTTCTTTTGATCCCTCGGTAGAATTACCAGAACCATCTTCATTGGGTTTCGTTTACCATTGGTTTTTGATTTACTAATTCCGTGGTGATTCCCTTTGAGGACAATTTTCTGGTTTTTGGTCCCTTGATCGGCGGATTTTGCAGGATCTCTCCTGGATCATGGTGGCTTGCAGGTTTTTCCACTTATTCTCCACCTTCAGGACGATCGTCCGAACTTTTGGTGTCGGAAATGGTCCCCTGGTATAGGTCCAAAGGCTGGTTTTGCATTGCGTTTGTTAGATCTCAGAGTTTCTTCTTTGAGGCGCTCTGGTTTTCTCTCTTTACATCCACCTCATTCCCATGGGAAACTGTGACGTAACGCGCAGACGGAAAAAGGACCAAAAATGTCTCGTTATGTTACCATTACGTAACAAAAGCGTTGGGCAAACGGAAACTCTCAAATTACAAAGTGAGTGTACGCATTTTTTGTTTGTGTAACATCCGTTACGTTTGCAAGTGATTAACAAGATCGAGATGACAACGGGTGGCCAAAATGCGAGCGGCGAGTTCCATTCATGACAAGCGAAGGAGAAACCCAGACGCTTAAAATACAGCGATCAATCGGTGAATTGCTCTTAAGTGTCTAAACAAATCGTCTGCCAACTTGATTAATTGACTTTCCGCAATCCATCCATAACGTCCGAAAAAAAAAGAGAAACTTTAACCTTGAACCGATTAATCTAAAATGGCGGCCTTTCGGAAAATTCTGCGCACGTAAACAACCGTGCATTGTTGTCTGCATTCTACAACTTTCATAACGCAAAATCGCACGTTAGCTTTAAAAAACCCCCCAAAGGGCGATGACTGCAACTGCAGTTTGGCCTACTTCGATCGGTTGGTAACAATGGACTTTGCGAAAATCCCAGAAGCCATCCTTGAAAGGGTCGCCCGCTAAAAATAAACGCGCCAGAAATAGACGCGAACGCTAATCGCGCGCCGCCTTTTAAATTATCAACAAAAAAAAAATCGACCAACTCGTTTTTTTTTTTTTTCGAAAAATTGAGGTTAGGTTGAACGTTCTGAAGCTAAATCAATTCAAAACAAATTAATTTGTTTAATTGATGAAACAATAAAGTTCATCATTAACGACTGAGTCACGGCGACTGTTTAATCTAAGAACAAAAAAACAGCACGTTGTCGAGATGCTTCCTCGTACCACAACCTCTCTAATTTTATCGGCAAAAAAAAACAAGGCGCTTTTGTCTCGCGAAAACGTCAATTTGAGGTTAAAATTTGACATTAGCCGATAGTGAGGTTAGAACGACTATGGTGTAACGGTAACAATGGACGATCGTCAAGGTCGGCGGCGGGTTAAAGATCAGCTAATGAGTGCAGTCATAATAGTTCATGCATGCACAAGATTTATACTTGACCCACATGCGATAATTTGAGAACATTTTTTTTTTGGCAAGCAGCTCAGGAAGAGTGAGGCTGTTGCAACTTCTAATGCAATCGGGCCGGATTAGCGACCAGCAGAACTTATCGCCGTCACGGATCATTAGTCGCGCCTCTAGATATGGTCGCGCTCAATTACCACATTCAATTAGAAAAAAAGTAGGCTTTTTAATTGAAAAATCGTTTAAAGTTAATTAAGCTCCGTCGGGCACGAAACAAAGCGCGATCGTTGCCTTTTTGCGGGCGCGAAGGTTTACTTAGGGTACCATTGCACAAAGACCGCGATTCTTTGAACAGGTGTTCAGGATATTATGCGTTTAGTTTAAGGCCAACTGTCCACGTAATCCACTCGAAAGGGGCGTGGCTAATAGTGGCCGCTATTTTTTTACCCGAAGTAGCCCATGGAATCTTTATTTTTCCTGGTTCACTTTAAATTTATTTAACAGGAACCAAGAAAACTAAGCCTAATTTGTCCAATATTCAGCAATATAGATTTTGCATAGGTATATCATGTGACGTTAGCAATAAATATGCAAAAATATGCATATATTAGACATAAGAGTTTTGAGTAATTAAATTGAATGTCTCTAAACATATATCAACCCTTAAATAACAGTAATAAACAGTTGACTTTATTTAAGGGATGATAGTATAGATTTATTAGCAATAGAACAATTTGTTATAATAACAGTTCAAATGCCCCTAAAGTGGTCATTTCCGTCTCTCCACGCGGATTTAGAATTTAACAAGTAAAAAGGTTTTCGCCCTAAATAAGAAAGGTAGTATTCTGCAGTCTGCGCATGCGCACACCTGGTGTTCACAATATGCGATATGTTTACCTAATCTTTGGTTAAAATTTCAAAGAAATATCTCAATAACTAAGAAAGTTGGCGTACATTTTTCTTGGCTCACGAACTTAAAAATAACGAACTAAATAATATATTGAAAATTGTAAGAGTAGTTGAGGCCTGGGACAGACGGACGGACAGAGAAAATTGCTGCAATACCGCACCCAACTTCGCCAATGCACTAAAAAAAACTACCAATATTACAGTTCAAAATCCACTAAAAGCTCTGTGATACAACCGGAACAAGCGCAACGTTGTAGAAGGTGGAGGGGGGGTTATTTTCTCATTCCAAGCCAGGGGCGGACTGGCCCGGAGGGGGGGGGCGAACTAGAAGCCCAATCTTGGAACTGTTTGAAATTATGGATTCTACAGGCCACATTCTATAAGAAAATTTTTTTCCCGGGTCGATCTGAGACAATTTTTTTTTCGGGGCTCAAAAAAGGCACTGTATAATCTTCCTTTTTTACCAAAAATCGACTGCACCAAAATCTCTCGGGAAAACACTTTTTCTTATTAATTTTGGTGCGTAGAATCTAAAACAATTCGTACTTTTTCGATCGGACGTCTCAATCAAAAGTTATGGACTTTGGAAAGACGACAATATTCTAATGTTGAAATTGCGAAAAGTTACGTCGAGTTCATTTATTAAAAAAGCACTACAGGGGGGGTGGGAGGTATGGACCCCCCCCCCTGTATTTTACGACGATAGTTGTAGGGAAATAAACATTGAATCTTTTGTTTTGGGGGGGGGGGGGGGGTATTCCAAACCCTCCGGTTCCACATTCTTCCCCAATACCGTTCAGTCCCTTAGCAATTGCGCCATAATTTTTGGAAATGGTCCATCAAATATGATAGTAGGCTGTGGCGTATCACCAAGAAAGATCCGTCAAGGTCATTTATGAAAAAGTACTACAAGCATCCTCAGTGATGAACGTCTTGAGGTAGAACATACTACCGGGGGGTTTGGAATATTCCCAGTAATTTACGGCAGACATTGAATCTCTTCTTTTGCTGGGGGGTATTCCTACCCCCCCCCCCCGGTTTCAAATGCATCATAGTATCTAGTGTTATATTTGGTTGACACCCCTAAATTGGTTTAGTCCGTCCGTCCCCACGTGCAAGAAAAAACCTATTGGCGGATTTAGAATCTAAAAAGTCCTATTTCCTACAACCAGAGTAGGGGGGGGGGCGTAGATGGAATGGGGGGGATGGTACTCACTAATTCCACCCCATACTTTAGAAAAACATGGAATTTGCAAAAAATTCTCGGTTTTTCAAGGCGAGTGCTAAGAAGAAAATTTTGAGAGGAAAATGCCTCAAATACCGAGGAGTATCCGAACGTGAGAGGAGGCTTTGGAAACTATTCGCGCCGTTAGTAAGTGTTTTGGACACTTTTTCTGTACTTATCAAACCTTAAAAATGAATACAAATTGGTCCTTCGTGCCGAATTAATTTTTTTTTACTTCCTAGCTAGCACGTTAAGTTGAATTTTGATGTTCGCAAGGACGCGGTACATCAAATACGTGACAATGTTTCTATAGGCAGTACCAACAGGTTATATGACCATCAATCAATTGTAGAATTTTTTCGATTTTATGTAAACGAGTCGGGCAATGAGGTCTTGTGGGAGTAGTGCACGTGTCGTGTATCAAATTAATCTCTAAGTTTAGGCATTCATTATCGCGATCATTTCGCTCGTTTCACGGTCAACGGCTCTCAAATTCCGTGAATCATAATCAACGCGTTAGCTGGAATGTGGAAGTGCAGCGATTTTGAAAGATTAACATTTAAATCCAGCGGCGGCGGCGTCGCGACATTTAAATCGATTAATGCAAAAATTTGAAAAATGCGCGCGCGCGCGCGATTTAAAAAAATTATCATCGCCGATTGCGCGACATTTGCCTCTCCGGATTAGTTTAGGGGTCAGTGGATAAGATGACTTACCTTGGGCGTGCGTTGAATTAATCGTGCTCATCTCGGCGTAGCTCTGCAAGGAGTTGAAGGTGCTGATATTGTATTCTTCTTTCCCCTTAAACGCGCCATGTCCGACTTGCACCCACACAATAACAATTATGGCTAATAATACGGCGATTGCAACACCGGCGAGTATTGATGTTACCCGTTGATGCATTTTCGAAGTCATACTTTTAACGGATTTACAAGGCAATTAACTTTACGATGCGAGTCTCTCTCTTTTTTCTTCTTTCAATTTTAAGTACTAAGCACCATACTGTTGTTGTTAATGAAAGATTAACGATAGGAAATAAATCGTGAGCATAAATAACTAAGGTCAAAGCTCGATTTTATCGATAGCATTGACCATCTGCATTTTATGTAATAATCAACTTCTTTAATTTTGTACCTTCCTGTATATTACATCGCTAAAGAAATTTCAAATAACGTAGTAGTACTCGATTTGGTTGCGTATTCTGAAACAAAAAGAAAGGGAGAATTACTTTCTACCCCCGTGTGACCTTAGATGAATTGTTTATTTTTGTTTTAGGTGCATGACCTTTGCGATGATTGGGGGAGTTAGTGGGTGAAATTAAAAACGGCCTTGCATGCGGCGAGCGCAAAAAAATGATCCCACCCCCTGACCGATGGTGCAAAATGAGCGATTGCGAAGTGCTACTTACACATTAGAGAATTTTCGAAAGGGAGTTAAGCCGGCACGAGCTTCTTTTACGATTAATTCACAGCCGAGCAACAAGACGTAAACTACTCGACTTTTGCCGCCAAACTGAGTTAAAGTTAAAAGTCGAGCTCGCTGCAGAGAAGCGTCGCTTAGAGTAGGCGTGGCGATACGAAATTTTTCGAACGACACAGCGGCGGGGGTAACATTTCTATATTAAAGACGACGGCGTGAACTGCTCGTGCTTTTTCCAGGAGCCTGTTCTGCAGGACGCCGACGCCGCCTATGTCAGTATGGAAGAGGCTTAGATCGCAACGTGAAAAACCAAGAGACAACCAAAGGCCGGAGACATACAAGAAGCGGCATCGTCAAGACGAAGAAGACGTGGTGCGCAAGAAGGGCCAGTATCCCTACTGGTAAACACTGGATACCAAGCCGACTGCTAGTGTCCATCTGGCAACATTTGACATGGAGAAAGCCATACCTATACAAAATGACACCAGGTCCTCCGCCAATGGAGGTTATTGGAAGCGACTACAATGAGGGTCGGTTCGCGAGGCCCCAAGACTTAATCTCAATCAACGCCTAGATTTGAGTCTGCGCCTAGGCGAAGCAGGTCCGTAGCCAGAATGAAGTAGCAGGGCGGGTGGCCCGTATTTTTCTAGGGGGAGCCTAAGAAATTTTTGATAGACTTCCCTTGTAATTTTTGTAAAGAAACCATCAACCATAATTTCCAGTGGGGGCAAGACCACGTTCTAGGTGGGGCGCAGTCCCCCCTGGCCACCCCATACCTACGGGCCTGAGGCGAAGGTATAGCAATCATCTTCTGACCAATACTGGAGCAGGAGGTCTTTGTCCCCTTAGGAATGAAGAAACGATGACAGACGGTTTATCTTTATTGGAGAACTCGTCCTTTTTCAATACGTTCGGAAGTGCATCTAATGTTTACAATATGAGATATGTTTGTCTTTACTAGAAGCATGTGGTTAAAATTTCAAAAAGATATCTCGATAAATAAAATAGTTGATTTTGCGCACGCGCACATTAATCGTCAAGATTTTTCCTGGCTCAGGTGCTACCGAATTCAAAAAGAACGAACTGAATATATTGAAAACTGTAGTAGTTATAAGGCTTCGGACGGACGGACAGAGAAAGTGGCTGCAATAGTGCACCCCAATTTCGTTGGAAAATGCGCTAAAAATGTGTCTTTTTAGCGCATTTTCCAACTCATGGTGGCGTGGTCAAGTTGTCTATTGGCAGCGCCATGTTTCCTCCAGATTTGGATGTAACCAATCGGAAAGTCTGCATATTTAAATTTTACGTTGCCAACCGATGACGTGATCCGCAAACAAGCTTTTCAATTCGTTTGTCAGTTGGGAATATCCTACTAAATTTGTGTTATTACATTCAACTCTGGAGAAAACATGGCAGCCATCTCGCGCATGACCACACTGTTAGTATGGTTACTATAGGTATACACTGCCTTTTTTTGAGCTCCGAAAAAAAAATTGTCTCAGATCGACCCGGAAAAAAATTTTTCTTATAGAATGTGGCCTGTAGAATCCATAATTTCAAACAGTTCCAAGATTGGGCTACTAGTTCAAAAGCCACCTGCACCCCCCCCCCGTACCAGTCCGCCCCTGACTATAGGAATTATTTATACGCAGACCCTCCATGTAGAGGGCGCAGCCAGGAAGAAGAAACAGATCTGCATATATTCGGCCAATGGGAGATGTAGGATTAAACTAGGATACCACTCAAGAGTTTAAATAATAAAAATATATCACACCACTTCCATCTGGAAGCTACGAAGCTCTGGATAGGACACATAGGAAATTATTTTGTAAATTACAGTGTAACTGGGAATTACACTAATTTACAGTTGTAACGGTCAAGGATAATTGCCAGTTACAACTGTAAATTATAAACTAATTCCCAGTTACAACTGTACTTTACAATATAATTACCTGTCCTATCCAGAGCTTTGTAGGAAGCGCCTATTGCATCGGGAGAGCCGAAAAGATAAATTTGCGATTTAGAAAATGATATTGGTAAGAAGTGGCAAGAGGTTTGGTTGGCAACAGAATTTTCTGAAAGCTACAGCGATACAATGGAAATCAATTTCAATCCGATTAATTTAGAATCAGATACATTAATACACTTTCAAATCGCCCATTTTTCGCGTCTACTTCACAGAAAGCAAAATTGTTGGCTAAAGTGTTATAAGTGTGAAAATAAATGTCAGTGATGCATCAACTGGAAATTTTCCCTCTGTGAATTTTCCTTTTTGGTTTTAGATATTTCCTAAATTCACTCAACTTCTCTGAGAAATACTGGAGGGGGAGCTGGAACTACGAAAAAGGGCAAACGCCTGAAGATTGCCGCATCTCAAGACGGGGATAATGCAAAGTACAGGGTAATTATTTATTCATACACAAAATTGTAAATGTAAAACTTAACATTCGTCTTAACGGATTAACATAAACTCTCTTGAAAGCGGATTGTTTTAAGTAAATAAAAAGGCACATTTGCGACAATAGAAAAATATATAAAAACTCCCAAACGTGCCTTTCGAAGGTGGACGAACATTTAGAGTAATGTAAGAAAAAGGTACTTTTTCCCAACATCCGATTAATCACAGATTTAGATTATTGAAACTCCTTGCTCGGCGTCGAAATGCCGACCGCCTCCTCGTAGCCGGGCTTCTTCAGCTTTCCCTTTTTCTCCTTCTTCGTCTTTTTCGTCTTCTTACCGCCGGTGTCGAGCAAATTTACGACCTCGTGACTGGCGTGATGCTTCTCGCTCACCTTTTTCTTCTCCTTCTTCTTCTTCGGTTTCTTTTGGTCTACATGCGCCATGGTTACCCTAAAGCCACCGTTTGTTAGTCGCCCCCCGAGAGCATGCAACTTACGTTTCCAGATCGATGTCCAGGGCGCGATGGGGATCGTCCAAGTTGTCGTGGACGCTTTCGGTGTCGGATAACGTGGCGCCTTCGGGTAGCTCCATGTTTTTGTTGACCATCAGCGTGGATCCGACGGTCGGCTCGGCTTCGTCGGACGAACTCTCTTCTTTCTTTGCCTTCTTTTTCTTCTTCTTTTTCTTGTCGCTCGTCAGGTACTTATCGGATCGCTTATGGCTGCTTGTTACGAGCTTAATCGGAATGTCGAGCTCGCTTATTGGGATGCTTTCGACGTTTTCATAGTCGCGCTTCTTCGCCGCCCCCTTCAGGTAGTGCGGATTATTCATCTGCTCCAACTTTCTCGCCTCGCGACTCTGCAAAGTGACGTTCAGTTGTCGCCCCCCCACCTGATTCGCCCTTACCTTTTGAAGCTCCTCCTCGGTCGGCTCGACGTGCTTCTCGCTCTTGTATTCAGTCTTATCCGGTTTAACGAAGAGATGGTCGTCGTAAATGTTGTCGCTGTCCGATTCGGACTCTTCAAGCGGCTCGTGTATCCAGGCGTCTAGATCTAAGCTGAATGGATTTTTATTTTCAAAGATTGGTTTGAGTAAGAAGCGGATATTGACAAAATACAGCGTTGCCAAGTGTGTCTCATAAGCTGAGAATTGCCGGAAAGAAACGGATCTTCTCACGAGACCTTGTACGCACTCAATTAAAAAAATTAATAACTCGCGCAAAAGACGATAGTACTGTCGATTTTAATGAAAATTAGGAAAGTGCGACTTAATTTTTCAAAAAAAGTAGACAATTTTCTGGGAGGGTGATGCCGAACTCGCCTTCGGTTCGCTCGGTAATTTTCGGCGAGATCGGCAAATAATAACACGCGCAAAAGGCAATAGACCTTGAAATTAGTTCCCTAATCGACCACCTGGTGGCGCCACCAGTGTGAATAACAAGCGGCGTGTATTTCATGTTGGTGACTGCACTCATTCACCTTGGCAAAGCTAAATTCTGAAAACGAACTCCAGAAAAATACGTACCCATCGGGAACGGGAACCTTCTTTTGGGCGCGGGGTGCGACCGGGTTAAGTTCACCCGCAAACAACGATAGCAACTCGGCGGCAAGTGGTGCGTCCCCCTTTTTTTCATCGAACGAATCGTCGTCCATAATTTTCCCGTTGGTCTCCTGCTTTCCTGCAGAGGGAACGCGATAAATCAAAACCACAGAAAAACTATAGCACTCACTTTCCGAAATTGCATCCCTAACAATTTTGACGATAATTAAAGTGGTACTCGAGCGTTCCTGCACTTCGAGTTCGGCCGACTTGATGCTCTCGCTCAATTTCGCGTCGATTAAGTCGCAGTACTTGATAATCTCGTCGTACTTGCACTCCGTCTCGTACCGTTCCAAAAGTCGGGCGAACAGTTTCAAAATGTTGTGAATGAAAACTGACTCGATGTGTTGCGGCAGCGCCTTGTACTGCAACATCGCCATGAGCGTTTGCTCCACATTCTTCAACTCGCTAAAATAAAGCGCTAGATCGGAGTGATCGTCAGTAGACTATGGGCATACCTAGCGAACTCGCCACAGAGCCAAGCGGCGGCGTACAGCACATCTTGCATTATCGAAAGTTGAGTAGACGACGAGTAGACCTCGAGTAACTGCGCCATTTCGGCGACGGCAAACGAACGTATCGCCTGCACGCGTATCGAAACGTCCATCAGCTGCGCGGCGATCACGTGCCCCTGCTTCGACCCGAACTCCATCTGCGCCAGCTCGACGAGCACCGTCACGTACCACTCGAAATTGGTGATGAACTGGTAATTATTCTGCGAGCAGATCAGGATGATCTTACTCAGCAGCTCGTCGCGGTACATCGTGCCCTCGGCGCGATCCATGTGGACCATCAGCTTCTTTACGATCTCCATGAGGTTCTTCTTCGAGACCATGCCGTAGAGTAAATCGAGCGCGCGCAACCGTATCGACTCGTCCTTATCCTCCATGCACTGCAAAATCAGATCTTTGTGCGCCTGCACGCTTTTCGGATGGGTCTTGAGTATTTTCGACATGGCCAACAGCCCCAGGTACTTTACTGCAACAATCATAGACGTAGACCCTGTATTTTAGCCCCTATCTCCTTTGGAAATCAGCGAACTCGCACCAGTGAGTAGAACAAAAGACAAACAGACTTACAATTTTGATCCGAATCCTCGATCAGTATCCTCAACTTTTGGACACAGAGCTGTATGCTGGCAGCGTGATTGGGCATCCCCGACGATATACTAATCAAGACCGCTATCACCGTATTGATGCACTCGTACAGGAGACTCATCGCCGACGTGCTGAAATCACAGCGAGGATTAGACGGCGAACGCAACTACGCCCGGACGTACCTATGGATTAAATTAGTTAGGGGTTCTATCAACTTTTTGCCTAGCCGAGGTTCTAAGGGTGTTAAAGCTCCGAACTAGAACAGAAAAACAAAACCACAGATACCTTGCGATCAGGCTCACCAAAGGCACGGTCAGTTTACGACCGAACTCGTAGCTGTGGCCCGTAAACGAGGCGCACTAACAAAGGCGATTATGCGAAGCTCGTCCGCCGAGACCACACTCACCAGCTTAATGATTTTGATCAGCATCCAGTTGTTGGTGCTGGTCGTCATCAGTTTGAAGAACACGGGAGCGAGACTAAGGTAGTTTTTGGGATTCTTCCGCGCCAGCTCGCACACGACGTTAACCGCCGCCGACTGCACGCCCGGATCGGGATCTTCGAGCTTCTCCTTGAGGCGGGGGAACGCGGGACGCAAGGCGTCGGGGTACTTCAAGAAGACCTTGTACATCATTAGGACCGCCTTCTTACGTATGTACGGCTTGGTCGAATTTAACTGAAAAGCACGACTGCTGAATTTGCCACTCGATCCGACGACTTACTAGCGTTAGAATATCGTTGGACAAGTCACGCGCCAGGTCGGCGCTGATGTAGCAACTCAGCGAGGTTAAGGCCAGGCCCGATTCGTACTGATTCTGCGAATTGAGCTCCTTTCGTATCATATTCGTTGTTAACATTAAGAGCTGTAAGCAAACGGTCAGCATGTTCGGCGCGCATCAGTCAGGGGCGGATTATCCATAAGAGTTTGGGAAGGGGTATTCAAATGTCCCAAGTAGTACCCTCCACATAAGAGGACTCAAAAACACCCCCTAGGCCGTCGGTCTCTCATAAAAGCGGTGAGACTCAATACTCTCAAGAGTACCGGAGGTCTGAGGGGTATGGAATACCCCCCACCACACACTACTGTTAGCAAAAAAGGGGACTCTATAACCCCCAGCATACAATTATTCTAAATGCTAAGGGTAAGAGAGAAAGACTTATTGAGTCCTCCTTTTTACTAAGGTTTATGCATGCTGGGGGGTATTCCAATCCCCCGGTACTGTATTATTTTCGTGAGGGAGTTGATGGCTCAATGCTTTTAAACGATAACGCCACACCGGGGGGTCTGGAAAACCCCCCAGCACGCATAAACCTTAGCAAAAAGGAGGACTCAATAAGTCTTTCTCTCTTAGCCTTAGCATTTAGAATAATTGTATGCTGGGGGGTATAAAGTCCCCCTTTTTGCTGACAGTAGTGTGTGCTGGGGGGTATTCCATACCCCCCAGACCCCCCGGTGTGGCGTTATCGTTTAAAAGCATTGAGCCATCAACTCCCTCACGAAAATAAAACAGTACCGGGGGGACTGGGGGGTATGGAATACCCCCCAGCACACACTACTGTCAGCAAAAAGGGGGACATTATACCCCCCAGCATACAATTATTCTAAATGCTAAGGGTAAGAGAGAAAGACTTATTGAGTCCTCCTTTTTGCTAAGGTTTATGCGTGCTGGGGGGTGACCCCCCGGTGTGGCGTTATCGTTTAAAAGCATTGAGTCAATTCCAGACCCCCCGGTGTGGCGTTATCGTTTAAAAGCATTGAGCCTTCAACTCCCTCGTGACAATAAAACCCCCCTTAAAAAGGGGGACTCTATACCTCCCAGCATACAATTATTCTAAATGCAGAGATAAGAGAGAAAGACTTATTGAGCCATAGATGCGATGGACTTAGATTCGTTACATAAAAATGCACGGGTGGGTTGGGGGGTGGGAGCTAAGTTAATTCGCCCCTGTAACCACTTTACCTCCGAATCGCAATGAAAAGATTGACTTGCTGCCAAATAGCCGATGCGTTTCAATGTGAACTTATTGGAACTCATCACTTCGATTATATTAAAACCAGCCCAGGAGATGTCGTACCCGAGCATTTGTAGCTGAAGTGAAACTTTTATAGAAACAACATCTGAGCCCTTTATACCTACGTAAGTCAGTTTCGCAATCGCGTTGCTCTTCACCGAAAGATTATCCTGCCTCAGCTCCTGCTTTATGTCCTCCATGCATTGCGAGATGTACTTCGCCTGCAATTCGCACCCCTTAGTCGATAAACATAACCTCGAAATGTACGAACCTCATTCTCCTTATTGTTTCGTATCCCTCGCACGAGATCCGTGAGGTTTTTATCGAACATGCGTTCGAAGTTGCCTTTCACCTTCTTCAAAGCCATTTTTCAGCTTTAAACATCAATTAATATGGCAAGGGGGTAGGTACCTAACACTAAACATCGATTGCAGTCTTTCACGCGAACGGGGAGGGGGGCCCAGCCGAAATAAAAAAAACGCGCCTATTTTACTATCACAGTTAAATCGTTACCCATTGTTTTGTTTGACCGATAAGTAGCTTTTTTGAGGAATTAAAACCCAAAACGGCCACGTTTAAATTACCGAAACCAGTGGCGTCGCATGCTCGAACAGCTGTGGGGGCGGTGTCACGTGGCGATTGGAGCCGAAAATGGACGAAGATTGACGGCCATTTTTGTACGAAGAAAGGAATGCACTTGTCGCCCTACTGCTTTTCCAGAGCGGTTTCTGTATTTAGAGTAAATCACTAAAGGCTCTGGAAAAAGGCCAACACCTCGGGGTGCTCTGAAACCTCTGGAAAGGCTTTTGATTTTGAACCTTTACCTCTAATCTCTCTCCGCCGCCGGAAAAAATCAACATAAAAGCACCGGGGGGGGCGTTGGAGTGTTTTAAAAAAGCTCCAAGTCCTAAGATCTAACATACTAGAGAAAGTTACTCTGAAAAGTGCAGATTTCGAGAACTTTCTGGACGTTTTTTTAGAAGAAAGCACGAAAAACGTATAAAGGAGTCTGCTAGATTTGGTAGACCTCTGGAAGATAATGCCATAATCAAGAAAAATGGACAAAGAGTTCTGGTTCAACTAACAGGCGATTAACTGCCGAATACAGTGGCGTATGTGAAGTCATTAAAATAATCATTAATTGCACGATTGATGTGCCATTAAAATTTTACGATTACTCTGCGACCTTTAATAAATCGTTTTAAGACCGCGACTCTACGACCTTAGTCTTTTATTGGCGAGCTTCGGGCGGGAAATTCAAATTGCATGCCGTCCAACTAATTTGAATCGATGTGGTCACGCATTCAGAAATGATGACAAAGAGTTTAAGGCGCAAGACAATAGAGAGAGTTAGGTCAAAAATAGCCAGTGGTCAGTTCGTGTGGGTTCTCGAAGGGTGGCCGCGATGATTTTTTTCGCGTACAGACTCGAGCGTTGTGCAAATTCGCGCCGCCCGCATTTTGGGAATTGGTGAGTAGATAAAGGGGGATTTTTTGATTGGAAATTAATAATTTCGAAATGCCGGGGGGGTCAAGAGATGGGCATTCGTGCCGGCGATCGTCTATCTATCACGCGAACTGAATAAAGCGCGCATCATAAATTATTTGAGAGCGTTTACCCTAAAACGATCATGTCAGTTCTTTCAAAGTGATCGTTTTGAAAACTCCTTGGGGCCGAATGAAAGTGGAAAGTTCTAATTGGTCATGGCTAATTTATGTACTATGCAAATGTAATTAGTGTTGTAATGTCTAGTTCCCATAGCTACGGCAAAATTCAAGTTCATGGAACGCAATCAATAACTTATCTTATGCTTATTTGTGTACGAAAACGGCCCCTTAACCTTGTCCTCTTTTCTTCCACGAAGTCCCGATTCATTCAACTGTTAAGGGGGCCCTTTTCCGGGGAGATCTGCTGGCCACGTCGAAAATGAGCTATTGACACGTATTACTTTTAGGAATCAATCGAAACGTAATTGAATATCAATACCTACATTTTTCCCAGTAACCCATTTGTCACCCGAATGACATACTTTGTTTTTTAGATAGCAACATGACCCGATCTATCGAATGATGGCTGAGAACGTAAAAGTTATCGTACGATGTCGGCCAATGAACAAAAGGGAAATCGAATTAAAATGCAAGGTAAACTCCCCTCAAAAAAAACCTCGCGGTAATCAGAGTTTCCCCCCGCAGTGCATCATACAAATGAAGAATTGCATGACCGAAATTTGGGACCCAAACGAGGGACCATCATTTCCGAAGCAGTTCACCTTCGATTCGGTCTACGACCAGGAGTCCTACACCGAAACAATCTACAATGACATCTGCTATCCACTGATCGAGGTAGGTACGGTGTCCACGAGATGAGACTGATTGATTTCGTAGAGCGTGCTCGAGGGGTACAACAGTACGATCTTTGTGTACGGACAGACCGGTTGTGGTAAGTCGTTCAGCATGGAGGGTTGCAAGAGTATGAATCCTCCGGAGAAGGGTATCATTTCGCGCGCCTTTGAACACATTTTTGAAGCCATATCGGTGACGTCAGGCGTCAAGTATTTGGCGTTGGCCAGCTACCTGGAGATCTACAACGAGCAAATAAGGTAAGCAATTAACTCTGGCGATCGCTTTCATAACCCATGATCTGCAGAGACTTATTGCTTCCCAACGAGAGCGCTCTCAATTTAAAAGAAGTTCCAAACGAAGGAGTGACCGTGCCCGGTTTGACGATCCATCCAGTCCACAACATCGCAGAGTGCGAGGAGATGCTGAACTTCGGTTCAAAAAACCGAATGATCGGCGCTACGCTCATGAACCAGGTGAGCTCGCGCTCGCACAGCATCTTCACGATCAGCATCGAGCAAATCTCCAACGATAACGAAACGATAAGAAAAGGCAAACTGAACCTGGTGGACTTGGCCGGCTCCGAGCGCCAGGCGAAAACCGGCGCGACCGGCGACCGCCTGAAGGAAGCGACGAAAATCAATCTCTCGCTGAGCGCGCTCGGAAACGTCATCTCCGCGCTCGTCGACGGAAAAGCCAAGCACATCCCGTACCGGGACTCAAAACTCACCCGCCTCCTCCAAGACTCCCTCGGCGGCAACACCCGCACACTGATGATCGCCTGCATCAGCCCGGCGAGCCGCGACTACGACGAAACCCTCTCGACGCTCCGCTACGCGAACCGCGCGAAAAACATTCACAACAAACCTCGAATCAACGAGGACCCCAAGGACGCCATGCTCCGCCAGTACCAGGAGGAGATCTCGAGGCTGCGCAACCTGCTCGAGGACCGCCGCCTCGGCTCCCCGCTAAAAATCGAGGACATCTCCGACGAGGCCCAATTCGAGCTCGCCAAGCTTCCCGCGCACACCAAGCGCGACCTACTCATTCAGGAATTCCAGGAGGAGATGAAGAAACTGAAGAACCTGCACGAGAACGAGAAGAGCGAGAAAGAGAAGATCTTGAAGCAAATCGAGGGGATCAAGACCGAGTATCAGCTGCACATCGAGCAGCTGAACAGCGAGATGGAGGAGAAGAGGCAGAAGAGCACGTCGAAGGAGGAAATCTTGCAGCGGATCGAGGCGCTAAAGGCGTCGATGATTGGCGGCGAAAAGGCGGACGACAAGGAGCTGTCCGAGAGGAGGAAGCGTAAAAAGCAGGCCTCCGAGAAACGGCTAAGGTTCGTTGGTGTTTGAGGGTTCCCCTGACAATTTACTTTTAGCGCAATTGCACACGTTTTGGCCAAGATCGACATGAACGAAGACAGAGAGCTGCTGCAGAGTCAGTATATGGACATCAGTCAGGAATTGAAGGTGAAGACCGACGCGCTGAGGAAATATCGGCACAAGGTGAGTTGTGGTACCCCGTGGAGGACTGGGTGACCGGTTTTGTTTAGGTTAAATCGCTCGAGAAGGAAATCGGCGATATCCAAAGCGAGTTCCAAGTGGAGCGAAACGATTACCTGGAAACCATCAGGAAACTGAACCGCAACACGAAGCTGCTGTCGCAAATCACCGAGAAGTTGAGTGGGACGTTGAAGAACGAGTGCAACTACAAGCAAGTGAGCCGAGCGATTTCCGTACGCATTTCTCACGTTGATTCTCCTTTCAGGGATCTGGAGGCGATCAAGGAGCAAGCGATTTGGATCGAAGACTCGCAAAAGTACAAATTGCCAAACTTAGTGGTGCATAGGACGAAACTGCCTCCACCCGGTAAATATTTTTTTTAAATTGTTCGATGCTAGGGGGATCGCCCAACTTTTTTGGCTGACCTCGTAAATACTTATAGGTCGTATACACGACAGCCTAACAGCACCGGCCCGACTTGAAAGCGATGCAGAATCGCTAACGGACGATTCAATGCAAAATTATTTAATGCAGGTGAACACATTTTTAAAGCGTCTATAGTCGAGTGAATCGTCCGGATGGTTTTAATATTTTTCAAAAAAGAAAGAGAGAGAAAGACAAAAATTTGATGCACGTGTTTGTTCCATGCCGCACAAAGGCCAAAATCGCGAACCGTCAGCTAATTCGTCCAAAAGCAGTAACCCGTCGACGCCGCCAGACGACAACAGTCAGGTACGGGTACCGCCGGACGCGAACCGATTAACCGTTCAACTTTTTAGAAGTCGGACAAAGTAGATAACGAGGACATTATCGGTAGCTACTTCAAGCCAAGACGTGCCACTGAACTGCTGAATCAGTCGTCCAGGTTGGAATCGTCGGTCTTTACGACTTGGAGAGGTAGGTCGAGTTGTAGTCGGGAGCTAACATTTTCCAAAGGCTCGATCGATTTTCCAGATTTCGCGAACAAGACCAAGCCCAGATCGAGCGAGGGGGTCCACTCTCCGACCATTATGAGCACATTTTCCTTTCCCCACAGCAACTGGTTAAATGGTAGGTATTCGGAACCATACCCTGTACGCAGGGGCAGGACCCGGGGGCACATGAGCTGTAAAGTAATCGGGACGTTGGGAGTAAATTTCCGACTGAAAACAATTTCGGCGTCCCAATTACTTTGCAGCTCATGTGCACCGGTCCTAAGAGTGTACGGTGGACCACCGTTGGCGTCTATGGGTGAAGGCTCAATTTGTAAATTTGAGGAACTTTTACAGGAAACGCGTTGGGAATGGACACAAGTAATCGACGACCTTTACGACTGGAAGCGCTGCCCCTAATTGAAAAGCGGCGTAAAAACACCAACTTAATTCTACCCTGGATGTAATTGCTATTTTTATAACATAATCGAGTGTTTGAGTGATATTTATTAAATTTGCTATAAATTATATCTCGAAAGAATTTATATTTTTATTCGGTTTCAATAAAGTTCTATTCTAAATATTTACTGAGTCAGTGCTACTTCAATTTCAGTTTATAAAAAGAATCCCACCCTAACATTTCAGAAGGATTGGCTCACAAATAACAAATGTGAGTTGGGGCATGCGCAATAATAGTTATGCGGCATCCGACTGGAAGGACCAAATGTAGCGTTAGGCTTTTTTCATAAGCTGCACAGAAAAAAATCCTTGCTTCGTGTAAGTCTCGACACCATAACGAACCAAATAGCGAAAAAAGTAGCACAATAGCTCTTAAGACAAAAATCTAGTAGTGACAGAGACGTAGGGACGGATACTATTTTTTTATTTTTGTGGAAATGCACTAAAATAAGAGGTTCCGAAAACCAACACAAAATTCCTGTAAACTGTATGATATAGAAAAAGCTCCAGAAGGGACTAAAAAACTCTTCCAGATTATTTAAACAGGTACTTCCAGGATCCAGGCAGAAATATTTAATTATCATAAAAAGTTGCGGGTGACGTCACCTCGCGTCACCCATAACTCCGCCCACATGCGCAATATCATTGGTAGTTCCAATAACTACCACTGAAGGACACAGCGCATTATTTTGAACTTTATTTGAATACAAAATGCGGAATACTTGGAAATCTTATCACAGTCCAACGGGATGCTTATTATAAACAGCTTGCTCATACGACGGTGGTAGATCCTCGGCGGGCACAATGTAAGGAGGGGGGCGCTCCTCCGGCACCACCCGTGCGAGCTCTACCAATTCGGGCTGATCTCTGACGGGCTGTTGGCGACACCGTCCGTTAGGAGTCCACCAGTAACGTTTCAGTATGCAGAACGCTACGGCGAACGCTATTCCAACGAGGAAGATTACGAAGACTGAAATGATACGATGAACGAGTAACATTACTAGTCGAGCCATTACCTACTATCCAGAAGTCGCCGTAACTCAACTCGGAATTTGCACCGGTAAGTAAGAAGGTGGACGAATCACTTTCGGAAGACTCGGAGTCGACGGACCGCTTGTGTTTCGCCGGATAAATGTAATTGAACACTTTCCTTTTGAGGCGCGAGGAAATTTTGTGGGGTAGTATTACGATGTGCACCGAGAGAGTACAATTTGAGTCGTCGCTTGTGCAGAGATAGTCCCCTTGGTGTTTTAAACGTACCGGGTTGAAAGTTAGGCGGTGTTTTGCTATGGTACTCCCGAGTCTGCAATGAAAAAGGTACGGTACTCATTAAGAGACTGTTATTTACCTGGTCCATGCAGTGTTCTCGTGCCCCCCGCAGACCAGGGAAAGATTTGAGCCTCGAGTTGTTACGACTGCTTTGGTGGATATCGACGGAGAATTTCCACACATCTGCACGGTTAGGTTGTAGGTTTCCACGCAAGAGGGATAGCATGACTCGACGATGCAAATTATACAACAAAGCAACACCAGAAACAACATCGAGATTTTGTTATATTCTTGCTTAAATGTAGGTCGATTTTTAGAACTACAATAATTGAGATGAACTATTCGATTATTGTTCATTAGAACTACACAGTTCTAATCAAAGTACTCCATAAGTTTCCATACACATGAGTAGTGTCATTGAGCCAGGGGTTGGACCAGTATTCAATACCTTGTGTAGAAATGAAAATCAATATTTGGGGGGGGGGGGGGGGGGGCATAAAATAACCCCAGTCCCCGTTCTCTTCTAGATTCTTCCCTAAAACGTTTAGAGCCTTTGCACTTGCACCATAATTTAAGGAAAACCTTAAGATGAACGTTCCACTTGGGGGTCTGGAATACCCTCCAGTAAAGAAAGGTCTTTGTGATGGTTGTTGAGAAAAATTGAAAATTGAATCTTCTTCTGAAAAGAATTCTTTTTTCATGGGAGGTATTCTATACTCCCCAGACCCTCCCGTTTCTAGAATATTTGCACTTACACCATAATTTTATGAAAATCTTAAGGGCTGCACGTTTTAAGGACGAACGAACCTGGAGAAGGGGGGGGGTTGGAGGATAAGGAATATTTCCCCAGTCAACGAAAATCTTTATGATACTTTAGAAATGAAAATCGAATCTTTCCCTTTTTTTCCTGGTGGTTATTGCATATTCCCCAGACTCCTCGGTTCAAATTCTTCTTTAAAACGTTTAGACCTTGAGTACTTACACCATAATTTTAGAAAAATATTAAGCGCTAAACGGTTTGAGGGTGATGGTACCTCCGGGGGGTCTGGGGGGTATGGAATACCCCCCAAGGAAACGAAGATCTTTGTGATGGTTGTTGAGAAATGGAAATCGAATCTTTTTTTCCTCCCCATAGAGCCTCTGGTTCTAGATTCTTCCCGAAAACGTTTCGAGCCTTTAGTATTGACACCATAATTTTAGAAAAATATTAAGGGATAAACGGTTTGAGGGTGGTGGAACCTCCGGGGGGTCTGGGAGGTATTCTCCCAGTAAACGAAGATCTTATTGTGATGGAAAATCGAATCTTTACCCTTTTTCCTGGGGGGTATTCCATGCCCCCCGGTTCTAGATTCTTCCCCAAAACGTTTAGAGCCTTTGCACCATAATTTAAGGAAAATCTTAAGGGCCGAATGTTCTAAGGGCGAACGTACCACCGGGGGGGATATGGAATACTTCCCCAATAAACGAAGACCTTTATGATACTTTTCCTTTTTTTCCCTGACCTTAGGTATGGGTCTCGTGATGGCAAGAAACTGCATACCCCAATTGTTGGTTGAGTAGTTCGTAGTTCCTGATACGATTAAGTAATCTTGTTTCCATAATAGCAAAATTTATATTGACTTCTAATCAGTTATTATCGTGTTATCATATAGCATATACCGTATGTTAAATTTTTCCCCACCACAACGCGTCCAAAATAGAACTTTTAACATTGTCGCACGAACCGGGAAAAATTAACACGAAATTTTCTGTAAAAATTAGAACAGAGAAACCGCGCGTCGAAGGTCAAAGCTTATATTAAATCATCAGGCTAATACCGAATACCAGTTTAAAAATTGTTTCAAGGTTCCCATATCCTTTTACGCGTCGGCATCTAATTTTACCTTTAAGTGTTCAATGATAGACTTAAAAATGTTGCCGATGAAATGGCACGTCGTTGTCGCGCTAATGATCGGAGTTGTCGCCCTGATTATTTACGCGGGTGAAAATGCCGCCATCAGCAATGGGAAGACGTTGAAATTGGTTCACATCGTAAGTTGCGAATTTTGTAATTTTCTGATTTTTTTTGCGCAGATTTTCAGGCACGGAATACGCACACCCGCCGATACTTATCCGAACGATCCATACATCAACGATGACCTGTATCCGGTCGGGTGGGGGCAGATTACTAATGTAAGAAGCCGTAGCAAATAGGAACGCTCGGTATTTTTTTATCGATTTTTATAATCCTTGTTATAGTCAGTTGAAATAGCCAACTGTTTCAGGAAGGAAAACAGCAACTCTATGAGCACGGGAAGTACCTCAGGAATCGGTATGGCGCCTTCCTAGGTGACCATTACACACCAAGCGAGTACTACGTCCAAACCACTGACGTCGACCGCACCAAAGTTTCGGCTCAATGCATAAACGCGGGACTCTGGCCTCCCAATGCAGCTCAAAAGTGGGGAGCACTGGACTGGCAACCCATACCGAGCTACTCGGAACCGTTAAACCAGGATGATGTAAGAGCACTAAACGTAATCGCTCACTGGCACCCTCTGTTTCAGCTTCTGCTAGTGAGACGCCCATGTCCAAAGTACCACAAAGAGTTGCAGCGTGTAATTAATACAACCGAAATATCGAACAGGCTGAGGGCGTCCCAAACTCTCTTCGCAGATCTCACCAAGCACACGGGAAAGCGAGTAAAAGACTTCGAAGATGTTCAGGACATATTCACCACGTTAATGTCGGAGGTAAGCACGAAGGCTTAAAGTTTCCAACTGAAGCTGTCATTGTAGGAGGCTTTCGGTTTGAAACTGCCCCCGTGGACGGCGGAATTTTACCCAAAACGAATGCTGAACGCGACCGTCTTCAGTTACGTGCTCAACGCTTACAACAACAACCTGAACCGTCTCAAAGGCGGAGTCCTGGTGAAGAAGCTAATCGCGGACTGGACCGCCGCCACTTCCGGCGGTAAACGGAAGGCCTCTCTTTTCATCGGGCACGACTCGACCATCGTCAACCTGCTCAGCGCGTTGCAAATCTGGGAGCCGCAACTGCCGGGGTTCGCCATTAACGTGCTCTTCGAACTTTCCCATAACGGAACGCGCGACGAGTACGGGGTCGAGATATTTTTGCGCAACTCCACCAACGTTTGGGACGAGCCCCATCGTCTGACGATCCCCGGTTGCGAAACATTCTGCCCGCTACCGAAGCTGATCGAGCTGACCAAGGAGGTCGTCCCCGACGACTGGGACGAAGAGTGCAAGATCGCCGATGCGGGCTACATTCCGCCGACTCTCCGCGGACCTTAAGATTTTTTATACATTAACAATAATTACTACCTACTAATAAATTTGTTCATACAATGGCCTTTTACAAATTGCGTAGAGCTCCACGGAAAACAATTGAATTTTCAGAAAAGTCAAAGAGAAAATGGAGAAAGGCACCGGAAGAGTTTATCGTCGAAAGGGTAAGCGATCCTTGATTTTCCCCATATCCGAAATCGGCAATTCCAGTTACCTTCACCGACAACTCGACGCAAAAACCCAAATCGGCGGATTCGCAGCAGCGCAAGGAAGCCAAAAAGTTGCGCAGCCGTAGCCTGTACACGACCAACTCGTATTTGAGCGAGGAGACTTTGAGTATTCGCGATTTGAAACCCTACGAGGGCGTACCGTGGCTTCCCAGACTGAAGTCGTGCTACGTGGACGATTACTCGGTGAGTGTTTCGGCCGTGGCCTAGGCTCACGGGGTGATTTTAGGCTGATATCTGGCACGAGGAGGGCTCGTTTGGAAGCAACTGCACGATTTCGTCCCAAGGCATCATTTCGCTACGTCTGCACGACCGCATCCGCGTCGACATTTCACTGGAGAAAGCCGTGCGCGTCATGAATTACAAGAGCGGCATCGTGCTAGCTTTGAGTCCCACCGGAAGTTCCGCAGCTCTTTTGCATCCAAACGGGCGCGTCTACCAGTACGGGTCGCGTGTCGAGATTTTGGCTCACGACTCCGGCGGCAACAACAAGTGAGTTTGTGGCGATTCTACCTAAAGTCACTAGGTATAGAAAGTACCGCAATCATCCGCCATTTTTTGCTGCCAACTTAAAAAAAATGACAAATAAAATCGGAATAGCTGTCATTTTTTATAACCTAACTTCATAGTACTGTCATGTTTTATAAAAATATATACAGATATCTCCAAACAGGTGGAACAATCCCTAACATTAAAGTTACTAGAATCTTGTAACTTCCGCCATTTTTGGGCAAAAATCATGCGTTCTCTCTCTAACACACGACCCCAATGGATTGCGGTACTTTCTATATTTAGTGACTTTAATTCTACCTTTCGATTAATTGAGCGTTTAGGTACGCGAAGATGTGGTACAAAGGTGTCAGCTTCACCAGTGATCAGTGCGCCTTGGTGTACCTGGTCGATTCGGCCGGTACGCGCACCACCACCGACACATTTTCGGACTTGAGCCAAGATTTCTCGGTGAACGTCTTCTACAGCGACAGTCCGCACTTGGACACCTCCGCCTACGGCTCCCAAAACATCAGTGACGCCTTCACCGTCTTGCACGGCTCAAACTTTTGGGTAGCCGAGGACGGGACGGAAAACTGGATCATCAACAACATTCGAATCTCGCAAACGTCGGACGGACTGGTTCGGTAAGTTGCGAGCGTCCTCGGGCACACTCTCACCGAGTCTTCGCAGAATTGGGCGCAACAGTAACAAGTTCTCCCTCCGCACCTCGCCGACGAACGGCTCCGCATCGGTGAGTTCTCCATTCCTGCACTGCACCGGCTCACTGGGACAGACGCGTCACTTGTTCGTGCGCAGAGGCGAACGGCGCATGCACTACGACGGATCGAGCTTCATCGTCCGCAACGCCGGACACTCCGCGGGTTTTGATGAGAAGCATCAGCTTAAAGTTTACTGAATTGACTATTAACGCACGCGAAACGATGGCAATGGATTTAAACAAAAAACGTATAGTTTTAGGCACAAAGTAAAATAGAGAGCTGTCTTTTAATGAGGGTTCAAAAATGGAGGTGGTTGTTTTAGAAACGAGATCCTGTCATCCGTGCGCCTTTTCTGTGTTAACAGCTGTAAAACGTGTTTCAATAAAACCAAAGTCAAAATGTAGGATAATTCCTTGCCACCCTCCAGAAAAGTCACCACCTCTCGCTGCTCAGCAAATATTTTCAGAGCCTTGTTGCCGCATTTGACATCGTGGTCGTAATCAGCTTCGTTACTTCCGGCCGCCATTTTGCGAAAAGATCCATATATGGTTATCAATTTACATTCTTTTGTTTCAACGTCTTTTATTGCGAATTCGAGTACTGATATCTTAGTCTATTTCCAAGCTTAACGTGTATTTTCAGATTATTCGCTTCCGTAGAACTCTAAAGAAGTCGAAGAATTTGAGTGTCAATATTAAACCTGATTTGTTGAGAGATTTTACTTGGGAGATAAATTAAGTATACAGAATCAATGTAGCTACTTTTGTTTTTGACTTTTTGAGATGTTATCATATCTTACTACTCATGAAAGATAAAAAAAATTGTAAAAACTGTTTCTTTTAGATATTTTTAGGTAGAATCCAGTGGCGTACTCAACTAAATTTTGGACCACAGTTTCTGAGATTTGACCCAATGTTGGTATTTTTTGAATGCAACACCCTGTACAGGGTGTTTTTTTCGGAGCTTTAGTTAAACGTTTCTGGGAAAGTAAAATAGGTAGGTTTTTGAAAATTTGTACTTAGGAGTTACGCTGAAGGCCGAATCGATGTAAAATACTTTCCAAATGGCCGCACTTCCGGAAACACCGGAAGTAGATAGTAACTTCGTTATTTTAAATAGCAACCCCAATTTTTTATTGGGTTTTTGGATTCTA